TGGCTCTGTCTCTCTGGAATCTAATATATGGACCATAGCAAATGACAAGTTCAAAGTGCTAAAACTTATGCAAGAACCTAAAATTATGTATCTCAGCAAATCCTAGTTAAAGGCAAACAAAAAGCTGAGAAAAGTCATCAACAGAAGACTGGCAATATAAAAAGTGCTAAGTGAAGTTTTTCAAGCTAAACAAATGATACCAGATGGATACCTGGACCCAGATAAATGCAAAGAAGAGTGTTAGAACTGGTAAATATGGAGATAAACATAAAAGACGTTTCTTTGTTACTTTCCTAGAGAGACAACTGGCTGCTTAACGTGTTGTGGGGTTACATCATATGTAGAAGTCATCAAAAGTGAGTAAATGGAGATACATTTTTGCAAGTTCTAATGTTACATATAAAATATCATAAAATTAACTCCAGTAGACTGTGCTAAATGAGGATGCATTCTGTAACTGCCAGAGGTTACCCCTGAACACAGAAATAAGACACGGAGTAAAGCTAAAATGTCAGTAGAGGAGATCAGATGGGATACTGAGACCAAAAGAAAAGGAGGGTAGAGAAACAAGACACAAATAGGACAAACAGAAAATAGCAGACCAGGGGACTTCAATCTAAGTACGGGACTAGCATCGTAAACTAATATGGACTATCAACTCCATTTAAAAAGCAGAGTGCAGTCTCAACCACTTAGAAATAAAGTTATTCTCTGATAGTCAAATTCATAGAATACATTCAATGCATGAGAGTAGTTATCTGTAGTAGCGATTCCCAAACCTATGTGTGAATGTGCAAGATAACATTTCAACAGCATCTCAAGGTGACTTCAACTGGCATGTGAAGGTGGTTAACAGCTGGTATTAATTGGCACTTCACATTCTTTAACTTTACCCTCATAATGATGGCATGAGGAAAGGACTTCCATTGTTCCCACTTTACAAGTGCAGACTGAGGCCCAGGGAGGTAAGATATGTGGCCAGAAGCATACCCTAGGGAGTACACGCTCCTAACTAGAAGTGCTGCTTCCCTGCTGAAGCCAGTCAACTGTACTGCCTCACTGACAGGTACACAAGAGAGAGGCACCCAGTAAAGCAGGAGGCCACGCAAGCATGACTCCATCCTGTCGAGAGAGGTCTCACTGTCAGACCTGACCATGCAGCTCTCTTTTAGGAATGCACATGTGGAGGAGATGGGCTTGTGTAACTACCCAAACACCAGGCAATGACTACGGGAAAGTTTTTAACAAACTACCCTTGCTGTAGTTCAGAGGCTCACGGAGCAGCTCTCTGATTATATCTGATCCTGTCCTAACCAAGACCCGAAAAACTCTACATCCTTGGGCAGTCGGCATTGTCACTGTAAGGAAGTAAACTGGCACCTGGTTTATGTTCCAGACCGCTAAGTTTATAAAGTAATGACTCAGTTCCTGGTGAGGCTTTCTCACCTCTGGATAGAGAGGGATGACAGGATTTTGAATCATGCAGACTTCTGGAAGGGAGTCCTGGATTAGCATCACCTCATCAGAGCTAACTTCTTGGGAAGATGCACAAAGATTCTGGGAGAATGAGACTGAGGGGCCAATGAAGCCACCAGACACCTGTCTCACCTCTCCTTCTGAGCGCAGTAACATGAGCCGAGAAGATTATGGTAAAGTAGGAGAAAGAATCTGTAACTGTGCTGTAGAGACATGTGTGGGAAGCTGCTGAAACAGAGGAGAACCACATTAGGTTAAACCAAATGCTTTATCAAAGAGCACTCCTCCCGAGAGGCCTCTGCAGAGTTTCACATGAATCACTCATTCCAAGTTGTAAGGACACAACTGATTTTAAAAAAAAGATAAAGCAAGATAAATTCTGTAAATACCAGGTGCACCGAGAAAGCAGCTTTTCAGTCTGAACAAGGGTCAACCAAAACAGGCAAGGAAAGCAACAAAGCCACATAAACGTCTCTGCGGGCACACACACGTATGGTCCTCCTCATTCTGCTGAACAGATCCACAAAAATGACTCTGCTCTGAAGAAGCCTGAGAAAACCACCACCAAAGATACCTGACAGCAGAGGTCCCTTTCCTTCAGAGCCCCGAATTCCTCTGTGGCCCCCAACCCTGTACCTAACAGGGATCCTCACACCGCCTCTCCCGCTCCCTCACCTCAGTCAGGGCTTGGCTCCAAGGTCACTCTGGCACCACTGTATGGAAAGAGCCCTGCCCAACCCCAGCGTTCTCTGTGTCTCTCCTGAGCACGTATTAATACACCAGCGTGGGGCCCTCTTTAGTAATGAAGGCTCCGTGAGAGCAGGAATTCTGTCTGCCTGTACTTTGTCCCATATCCATAGGTTCAGACCGGTGCCCAGCAAGAGAACAGAATAGGAATAAAATACTTGGAATTCAAAGTCTATCTGGGAAGAGAGGGGACCAAGAGACGCTGACCCAGGGACCTCCTAAGCAGCACGACACGGAACCTCCCTAAGCCCAGCTTGGAGGGTGCGGAGCCCTCCTTAGTGGACGAGATATAAAGCAGGAAGGGCAGAAGCCGGGGCCCCAGGAACGGAAGCAGTGTGGGAGGGCTGCGTGCTTGACGGCCCCTGCACAGACGGCCCGGTCAGGTGGACAGTGAAGGGACAAGAGGAGGACAGGTAGCAGTAAAGGCAGGGCACACCTGCCAGAGAAAGGGGTCCCTGAGGGGTCTGAAACCAAGAAACAGCATGGCCAGATTTGCTTTTTACAGAAGCAGCAACAGGAAATGGGGCGGGGATGCAGGGGAATCTGTAGCGGGGAGAACGCTGTAAAGATTTCTGCACAAAGGCCTGTGACACTGAAACCAAAGCAGAGGGGTGGATGATGGCGCTGACGGGGCTCGCCTGGAGACAAGATGTACTTTCCTGAAATGCACCAGGCTCTCTCCCAAGCAACGTTTTTTGGGAGAAAACAAAGTAAAAGGGAATATTTTCATGCCTCTACTACACTAGCAATTTCAACCTGTCCACACTACAGTGCCTGCCATGCATCACAACGGTCTGCTCCGGGGTTTATCTTACAGACGCAGCTGTGCGCGCCCCTCCGTGTACTACGACCTACACTTACTCGGCTCCTACAGCTTTCACCACGCGCGCTGTAAACTTCACCAATCGCCCACGTCTGGTTCTCTGATCTCCCGCCTTAAAAACTAAACACACTCCCAGCTGGGGATGGACTTTCAGAGGCTACTCTGCTGAGCCTGCTGGCGTTATACAAGGCTTCCTTTTCTCCTTGGAGTTCTTCATTCCAGCTGCTCTCTCAGTTTTCTTGCAACATTTTCTCTCTCATGCTCTCGGGTCAGTTCTCTGCCAAGCATCCCTCACAAGCCTAAAGAGCAAAGGCCAGCAGCCTTTCCAACAGGACTCACTCGTGCAGGAGAGAGATGCTTGTTCCTATTGGCAACACGGTTACGTGCTCACTGCTAGAAAAGACAGGGTCTTGTGAGCCACAGCACAGAGCGGAACATGCGGAAGGCTGGATCCTCATGGGAAGTGTGGGCATGGCTACCAAGAACACAGGAGAACAGCCAGTGCAGGAACCTGTATTTTCCATTGAACAGTAAGCTCCTGGAAGCCAACATTCAGTCTTTTACGCATTTAATACAGATACATGAGACACAGAGGGCTACGCGCGTTTTAAAAAAGACTTTGTAAGACTGAAATTTTATATTATGGAGACTTTCATAAGTTGTTTTGTCCTACATTAGCCTTATAGTTTTAAAAAATTGTATTATATATAAATGTAGATTATTAAGTAGAAGGGCAGTGAATAAAATACCTCCTAGAGTTTATTTCTAAGAAAAATTTTTTTATATGAAAAACTTGACAATATTTCTTCTTAGCAGAAAATAAAAACCATGTGGGCCACCGTCATTTCATTAATACTTCAGAGGTAGGAAACACAGGTGTTATGGCTTATGTCCGGGGGTTCCCCCTAAACCTCTTGTGCTCGTAGATGGGACTTCTGGGAGTGACTGCATCGTGGATGCACAATACTGGATCCTGGGTGTCATACTGGGATCGTGGGTGCCGTATACTGGATTAGCCCACTGGTTGGTTTAGCACAACTGGGGTGGATGATGGACTTACTAAAGAGCAAAGACTCACTCGGTTGTGGGGGCACCAACCAATAGGCTAATAGCCTGGATGAAATAAAAAGGGGAAGAAGGAAGGCAGGCAGGCTCGCAGCCTCCTACCTGTCACGTCATGCACCGTTTCCCTTCTGCTGTGCTTCTCAGCCGTGCACCCTTCACGGGGTCCAGCTGACTGTGGACTGAAGCATCCACAAAATGTGGGCCAAAATAAACCTTTCCTCCTTTAACTTGTGGGTGGGAGGTATTTTGCCTAGCAACGGGAAGCTAAGACCGCTGGCTAACCAGCATGCCAAACTGGCTCTAGACAAGGTCATGTGGTTCTAGATAGGACTGTCACATCATTCTCTCTACTGACTGATGTATACAGAGGCCTGAGAATTATTATGAACCACCTCCATTTTTCTGGGAAGGCTATAGAAGCACATAGGACACGATGGATATAATAGCTAGTACTAATCAGAGTGTAAGTAAAACATTCTGTTTGCCTACATCGACCGATATTCAGTATGTTTTTAATTGTTGAGCTCCCCGATGACAGATATGTATGGCTGCCTGTAATTTCAAAATCTGTCTAGAATCCAACCCTTTCCATAATGTCCACTGTCCCCACCTGGCCCCAGGGAGGCACAGTCCCACTTCTGGCCTAACTGCTGGCACACTGTGCTCATGTTAGAGCGACTGAATGTCATCAAAATGCCACCAGGGAGGAGAACCCACAGCAGGGGTGCTTGACTGAATTGTTCACTACTGATCCCAGCACGCAGCAAGCACTCAAGAACGATCTGGTGAGTGAATAAATATGTCCTCAGCCCCTGTTCTGGAGGTGACGGGCAACATGAGCTGTGGCAGGAGGGAAAGGGGGTGTGTCAGTGAAACTTCCCGTACTCACTTGGCACAGCGGACCCAGTGTGTGTGTCGGTACAGGGAGTACAAGAAGCGCTGGCGGTACATGTTCCACACTTTGATGGATTTGTCTTCAGAAGCTGTAACCAGATACTGGCCATCGGCCGAAAAGTCCACACTTCGGACTGGAGCTGTGTGAGCTTTAAATTCTGAGGATTTCCCTCTCCTGGAAATAAACAGTTTAATATTAGTATTCACTTAATTATGACCAATATTGAGTCAGTGTACACAAAGCAGGTTCTCTTGTAAGTTCGGGAAGGCTCTTACACTGTACTCTTCAACAATGCTTCCATACTGGTTTGGGTCATTAAAGTCACAACTAATACCTAACAAGAAACATCCTGGTTGTTCCCACCCAAACATTTGCTGCTACTTAGCGGGAAGCTGGGTAAACAATTTGAAAAAGTCCTCTAGTACACATTTTAAATTCCTATTGTTTGTTTCCCCGAAATGGCAATCAATAAAAAGCCAAGATTGATGATACCAGTGGCCCCCAAGGCAGTGTTTTAAAGCCAGTCCTGTGGCAGGGGTGGACTAGCAGTCTTGGGCATTCACTTTTACACAGATGTCCCTGTTGACCCTGCTTTCCTCTTCCCCCGCGCTTTCCACCCACCAGGAATAAAAACAGAGAGCCTGGCCCATCCATATGGTAGGCCCTGCTCACCTTGTAGGCCCATTCAGACCCTCGCAAACAAAACTTAGGGTACGTAGAGAAAAACAGATTGCACTTTGACATTCAGAAACTTTTTTTCTTGGTTAGCGAGGAAAAAAAAATAACTAAAACATATGGAGAAAGTAACACGAGGCATTTAGAAGCAGAAAAACTGTTAAAATAGGAGCAGGCTCAGTAGTGTTGGAGTTGCAAGGTGATGTCTGGAAAACAGTACTTTGTTAGTGTTCCTAAGTTCTGACGGCATTTTTATTTTACACTCTATCCAGCCCTTAGCAATTTCTCATTTAGAAAATTATATTTATGTAGTTGATACCTTATAGGGAAAATTGCCGTAACTGTTTAAAAAAGACCAGGTGGAAGAATTTAGGGATCCACATACACCTGTCTTCGACTCTCAGAGGCTCACTCAGGCGCCCCATACACCTGCACCCCATCCTGTATTTGCTGTATTCGTGAGTAAGAGCGACAGCCTCCTGTCTCCAAGCCAAGAGCCTGGATGTCACACTCAGCTCCTCCCTCTTCTTCTGTCTCACATCCACCAACTCAGTAAACCCCACGCTGCTGCTGCTTTCTAAATGTCTTTTAAATAAGCCTCCTCTTTCTATCCCGGCTCTGCTTTCCTCAACAGCCTTCATCCGGATTATTGCAAAGCCTCTTAACTGGTCTCACTGCTCTTATCATTTACCCTGCTCCGGTCACCTACATACCATGCGTATCACCTGCTAGAGTGTAATTCCAGGCGCACACGTGTCCCCGCTCCCTCCCTCCAACATTAAGGACAACGCCCAACCTCCGCTCAAGGATCCCCCACTGCGCTGGACTTTGTACTCAGAACAGCCACAGTGCTTTAAAAGCACCCAAGCCTTTGCACTTAGACTTCCCGGGGCTGAACTATTTCCCCCTCCCCAGAGCCACGCAGGCTTAATCACGCTCTGTCTCCTACAGTAATTTTACTTCGCTACCTTACACAGACTTTAAAAATCACAGACCTGGTTTTTCTCCTATTAAACACTAAGTATTGAAGACAGGAATGACAATGTATTCATCTAGGAAGAATCAATAACTAAAGGTTCTAAGATCCAACCTGGCTCTCCCTTCCAGTGCCCTGCAGAAGGCAAGGGTGACTTTATCACTGGTCTCCATTACATGATATATGATAATACGTCAGAAGTGGCTAAAATCAGCACTACAAGAGAATTAGGAAGGAACATTTAGGACTAGTTAAATAAGGTCTCAAGGGAGAGTTTTTATTGAATAGAAATCAGGAGTGTTGGAGACCACTATGAAGTGGCAGTGAGCAGGATTTAAATTTCACTAATTGGCTTTCTATGTTGATCTGTGAGTCTGTCCTAGGCCTCCGCCCCTTGCCTGGCAATGGGAGCCGATCATAGTAAGTGAACCTCTGAATCACTGGTCCTGGCTGAGACCTGAAGTGGCCTGCGAGGCCAGAGATACCTCAAAGGGCAAGAAAAGGCCACAGCTTCGGACATCTTGGCTCCAACACTAATTAAGTAAATAAAGATTACTGAAGGGACCTTCCTCCTGCAGTCCACCTCTACCATAAATGTCGTCACAGAGATAAGATGGTTCTCCTAAATTGGCATAATTTACTACCTGAAGAAGTCTTTGAATGACTCCCAAAGTCCTGCTCATCCCCTCTTTTCCTCAGTTTCCCTGCCCCTTGTTTTGGACCTAATAACTATGGGTGGTCCAGAGAAGTCTCCGTCCTTAGCCCTCTGAGTCTCGAACTCACCTAAAGGGTTTTGGCCCTCCTGGAGCCCTAAACACATACCACTTGTCTCATTTTATTTAAGCCTTTGCTGCACACTCGTTTGGGAGACTGGGGATCTAGGTCAGGACCCGATATAGGAGTGTAGTGTGGCCTGAATTCAAGCATAAGATCTAGAGGAAACTGAAGAGGCCTCGCATCTGCAATGAACAGGAAGCCAGGACACAGCCGATCCACATCACTAACACCCGCCCTGATCTGTGGCTCTACTTTTCACGCACACATTGGCTATTTCACTTGCCTTTTCTTGAAAGGCCCTCTGCTTTCCTAACCACTGGGTCCTTTCTCAGCAAGAAAGCATAGAAGGGCTGGGGATTTGGCTCAGCGGCTTAAGCACCTGCCTGGCAAGCATGAGATTGTGAGTTCAATTCCCCCCGCAAAAGAAAGAAAGCATAAAAGAAACCAAGGTAGGAGTGCTTGGTGTTTGCTGCTGCCTAACTGGTTTCTCCTTTTATCTGGGCTGGTGGTTCGACTTTCTCTGACCAAGGGAATGTGGCAGATGACACTGCATGTTTCAAGTCTAGTCTTTAATAGCTCTAGCAGTTTCTGCTTCTGTGCTCCTGGAATCCAGCTGCCACATGGTCAGATTCCAGTCGGGTCCTCCTGCTGGAGGGAGGGCACATGGCAAACCAAAGTGTCCCAGCCAGGAGCAGCATCCCTGCCCAGGAATAAGCGAGGCCCCGGGACTGAGTGGCCCATCTGCCAGGTCAGTGAGGCTGCATGGGCAATCTCAGTGAGCACCAAACAGGGAGAAGGACCATCTGACAACCAATAAAACTGTGAGAAATGACGGTGATTGCATGAAGCTACTAAGTTTTGGGGATTACTACGAAGTGACTGATAACTGACCATTCACACGTCAGCTTCCTTCTCATTGCTATGCTCCGCTACTGCCCTGCCCCATCATGGTGTGATTTAGAAAGGGAACCAGAGACGTCTGCACACACTAGTCACTGCAGTTAGACTGGCCAAAGCAAACTAATGATTCAGTGTGCCTTTCGCTCCTCCACCCTTATACAGTTTGTTTATGGACATTTCCTTGATTCAGTAATGGGAGACTGAGCAGTGTACTGAAGATTAAAAATAGCAAAAAAACAAAACCCAGGGCTGGGGACATAGCTTTTCGGAATAGCACCTGCCTCACATGCAAGGCCTGGGCATTATTCCTAGCTCTGCAAAAATGCACAAAAAGCAACGAGTTAGCCCTAAATTCCCAAAGTTAAGGATTTTGGTACATGCTTTCCTCTTGAACCTCAAACCAGTCTCTTCCCCTTTACGATTCTCTTCTTAATGTCAAGCACGTGAGTATTATTACAAGTTGCTTGTCTGTAATAGTTTTTACTACCATCAGGATAAAAGTAAGACTTTTCCCTTGGATGGTGGCAGAAAGGTGCCCATGGCAGAGGATCGGCCAGGGAGCAGTCTTTCATTTGGAAGTGCCCGGCCTGTTAGCCACACGCTACAAATCAAATCCTGCCACAACAGAATCAAGAAAAATGCCCAAATTCCTATCCTCTGAAGTACTTACAGAGGGAAATGATATGATGTATGAGTTTTATTTAAAAATACACCAGTAAAAACAGTGTAGGGATTGGATTAAAAAATATTGGCAGAATTCTAAGAACAACTGAAACTGGTCCATAAGTATAATGAGCAAGTCACATTCATCTTTTCATGTATAGTTGAAAATTTACATACTTAGAAATGTTTTTTTTTTTTTGTCTTTTTCCTTTTTTATCGGTAACGGGGATCAAACTCACGACTGCCTGCTTGCAAGGCAGGCGCTTATGCCGCTGAGCTAAATCCCCAGCCCCCTACATACTTAGAAATTTTTAAAAAATCAATGACTACATAAAATCATTGGGTAGGGTTTGAAAAAAATTTCATAGGGATCTGTTATAACAGGATGTTACCTTAACAAATGCAATAAAAAAGCCATGATTCATACTTTATCAGAAATTTTCTTTAACAAGAAAATGCTAGAGGCCCCCGAAATCACACCAATCAGAAACCAGTTTTGTTACAGGGGTTTTCAATAGAATCTAAAGACTCCCCAAGGACAGATGAATGGATGTTAGGAGGCTGATAAACTAAATCCTGATTTCTGCCAACATGTATCCATAAGGAGACAATATAAAGCTTACATCAGATTTACAAAGAGATTGCCAAACCACTACCACCACTCTCCCCACCAAAAACCCAAAATGTGAGACATATTATGTGTTATTTCCATGCTAGAAACAGTTTTCTAAAAGAAGACAAAGCAAAAGTGAGGAAAACCGTGTATGAAACAGTTTGACTTTAAACAAGGGCAGTACACCTTGTATGGGACTCAGGAACTAAGGTCTTCCCCCAAGGAGTGCGTGGGAGCTGTCAACTCCATCCTTCTTCCACATGTCTACACCCGAAGCATGGCAAATGTTTTTTCTCTTACTTATCAGGCATCCAGAGTCTAACGGTTCTGTCTCGGGAGGCAGAGGCCAGTAAGTTTCCATGTGGAGAAAACTGCACGCTGGTTACAACATCCTTGTGACCCACATATCTGTAAGCTCTAGTTTGTGGCTTCAAATTCCATAGCATGAGAAAGGTGTCCCAAGAGGCAGTAACTATTGAGAAACAGAAGAACAAAACCACTGTTTGTTAAAATGCAAACGGGCATATCTCACGACAGTGGACGGCACATCAAATGACAAGGTGTTCCCAAAACTGAGAGGCAGAAGCAGAAGGCTGACCAGGCGAGAGCAAAAACACTTTTTAAAAGGCATTTGAACACAGATCTGCCGGCTTGGTTGTGTTCTGTGAAATCACACAGCAGATTCACTGGCCCCAGCATTCTAGTTACTATTTACTAGAACACGGTAGCAGAATATACCAGAGCCCACGGGAACTTGAGAGGAGGTTCTGTTTTCCACCCTGTGCGACTGTGAGGTTAACCTCTGTGTCTTGAGTATTACATTGTTTTCTTTTTTTGAAAGGGATGAATGACAGAATTAAAAAGGAAACTCCATGTAGAAAAAAATTCACTTATAGAAGTAATAAAACTAGTACAAATAACACTAATATGCTCTTTACTCAAATCTACCAGTGAATGCTTTGCCCTATTAGTTGAAATTTCCTCTGTGGTTCTCTCTCTATTCACACCCACATAATTTGTTTTCCTGAACCACTTTGGAATAAATTTTGCAACTCATGTCACCTTTATTCCTAAATGGGTCAGTGTGTTTTTCCAAAGAAGAATTTTCTCTTAGAAACCCTAGCATGGAGCCAGCTTTGAAAATTAATCACAGATGCCATACTTTAATCTACTAACTATATTCTAATTTTTTCAATTAATCCAGACATGCTTTTGTAGATGGATTTTAAAAGTCTCTTTCTAGACAGGCTTGGTGGCACATGTCTGTAATCTCAGCATTCTGGGGGACTAAGACAGGAAGATCTTGAGCCTAGCCTGGGAAAGCTGGTGACTTAGCATGAAATGTCTCAAAAAAAAAACAATGCTGGGGATTCAACTCAGTGTGAACGTCTGGATTCAACTTCTAATACTGTGAAAATAAACAGTTCTTTTTCTTAGCAATTTTATGACATTTGATGATTAATCAAAGAATCATACATGTCAGATAGTAGTTTTAAAGATTTAAGAGATGACAAACAAACATGTTTTGACAAAAAATTAACATATAAGCAAATGGAAAACAGATCTAATTCTTTCCTAAAAACCAAATCTGACTTGCATGTGGCCTCAGAAAAGCCATAAGAGAAATTAAGTCAAAGAGATTCACTAACTGTAGGATATAAAATGCTGAAAAATACAATTTTATAAACCTAAAATACATGTAATATCATTGTTACAGGAAAAATAGACCTTGGTTTTTATAAGCTACTGACATCTTCCAAGTTCTCCAGCCAACATGTAAAATTCTTCCGGACTTAGTCCAGAGGTGTCTGGTGCCCTGTCAGCAACCAGGATCCACCATGGGAGGTGACTGGCAGCCAGGAGGGCAGGCAAAGCTTCATCTGTAATCACAGCTGCTCCCCGTCACTCACGTGACCACCGGAGCTCCGAGTCCTGTCACAGCACAGTGGTGCAGCCATTTCATCCCGACAGGAGCCGGAGCCTTGCTGTGAACTGTGCACCCCAGCGACCTAGGCCGAGTGCTCCTCAGGAGAAGCTACTGTCGGATGAAGTCAAGTGAGGTGGTGACGCTAGCACTGGGGAGCAGCTGCAGACACAGACGAACATAAGCAAAGAGGTTGACTGCAGAGACCATAATAAATCAATTGTTTGCAGACTCGGAACCCTATCAGTAAGGGGCAAATGACAAGCTGCATCTGGTGGCAGGTTTTAAGTGAGAACCTGACACTTTGGCCTGTGTGTGGCCCACCTCGTATTTTATTTACCGCTTCTAGTTATCCTAATTTACTTCTCTGCACACTTGTCTCAGTCACAGTTTTGGTAAGCCCACAAGCTAATCCTAAAAGGCGAGTAAAAAATGTCACCGGAGAACTTCTTTGAAAGGGGGAAAGACCTGGTGATGAGTTAGTGGGAGGCTCTGAGACCATTAACAAAAAGGAAGCTGCTTGTAAAAGAAAATACCGAGACCTACTTCCATTACAGATTCAGTCTAACACACGATTCTCATTCTCCTGCCTGCTTTGTATATTATGTGGTGACCAACTACTACCCAGTGAAGCCATGAATCCTTCAAAAGTGCTTCACCACGTGGAGACCAAGCACCTTGAATTAGAAGACACCCCTCTGGAGTTTTTGAAAAGAAACAATGTGACCACACAGAGTGCCAGTGACTACATTAAAGGAAATCACTTCGTCACATGTGTCTGTACTCAGAGCATCACTCTTAGTGGTTGACAAATCCACTGATGCTGACCACATGCAGCAACGCTTGTTTCTATGACATATTATTCCCCACGATGTGCATGATATGTCATGACCACTTTTGTTGCCAACTAACACCAGAGCTGTAGAATTATTCACGTCTTCAAATGATTACATACCAGGAAAACTGAATAGCTCATTTTGTATTGGTTTTTGAACAGATGGAGCGGCAACCATGTCTACATGGCTTTCTCATTTCACTACTCAGGACAAAGAGTTCACTTCAGAATCTGAGTCTGCACACTGTGTCACCATAAAGGCTCCCTGGCATTTTCCCCCTTGAAAAAAAACAGTATAAAGAGAAGATGGTCCACTACAGATCAAATTATAAAATATTTATATCAGGGTATGATCTATCTGGGGCTAATGTACACAAAACAATAAAAAATAATCTATGCATTATACTTCAGACTCTATGCCAACAAAATATGCAAAAGTAAATATACATAATACATAATATACATAATTCCTTCTCTTGAAGAATCACAGTATAGTAGGGGAGGCATCATTAATGCCATTTCATCATAGTAATAATACAAAGCTAAAAACCTATGGCTGTATTACAATGTTGGGTTTCTTGCTCCTGATGTTAGTTAAATGAGTGTGACCTGCCCCTGGCATGGGCCAGGAAGAGAACCAGTGCTCCTGAGATCCGGCCATGGTGGAACTTAGGCAGCTGCACAAGAAAGCAATTCACCTGCCCTCTTGGTAAGCACCCCTGGCGTGAGCCAGGAGAACCAGTCAGCGGCTCACGTGAGCCTACCAGCAGGAGGGCTGAGAATCAAACATCTCCCCCGCCCCCCCATAGCAACGGGGGACAGAGGTCTGAGCATCTCTTGGGAGGATGACCATATGCAATATAGCAAATATAGGGGATTTCCTTCTACTTTGTTTGAAGGCAAAGGTTGTTTTCACTGTTTTGTTTTGTTATGTTTGTTTTGCTCTATTCAATACTCTTTCAATTGGTTTTACAATTTTGTTTTTGGTTTGATTTCTCCATACCTAATTGACTGGACAACTATTGTGAAGATAACAAGATATACTATAGTACCTATTACTACTATCCAGTATCCTGCTGTGAAGTTCTGTACCAATTTCATTGGATTGTCTCGATTGGCTTTGTTCTGTTGTATTTTTACTACCTTCAAAACAAAAAAAAAAAAAAAAGCCGGGCGTGGTGGTTCACGCCTATAATCCCAGCACTCGAGAGGCTGAGGCAGGAGGATTGCTGCAAGTTCAAGACCAGCCTGGGCTATAAAGGGAGCTCAAGGCCAGCCTGAACCACAGAGCAAGACCCTGTCTCAGAAAGACAAAAAAAAACCATGAGTATGACCCATTGTGAAAATATAATAAATCGTAAATTGTGATTTGTACACATTTTAATATATTCAATTCCTCAATAAAACACTTAGAAAAATTCAAAAAACAGTGTAGTTGTTGCATAGAAAATATACATGGGGCAGAGAGGCAGAACTGGAGAAGGGAGTCACTTCTCAGGTACTGGAACAACCCAGTCAGGAGAAGGGAGCCTGCGCCGTCCATGTAAAGAAGGACCTGTGAGGCTTGTTAATGAAGCAGACTGGAGGGACAGAAAGAGAGACAGAAAGATGCCAAGCCTTTGGAATGGTACCCAGGTAAATCTTATGTCCTTCAATGAGATGAAAAAGACCGGAAAAGAGGGGTTTGGGGATAGGGGAGCATGGGGTACAAATCAAGTTTATTTTGGGACACAGTAAGTTTGAATTGGACACTTCCAGTAGGAAGACCCACAGAGTCACCTGGAGACCAGAGACAGGTTTTCCCTGTACAGTGTGGTGGGTGAGGTAACAAACTACAAAATCAGACGCAGGTGAGGGGAGACCTCTTTGCAGAGACCTACAGTTATGTCACACCTAAAGCAGAGATGTCCCAATATGGTGGTGGCTCAGAATACTCTCTATATTTTCTTCTAAATTTTGGAAAAACAATCAGCAGAGGAGGGAAATTACTCAGATGTAAAAACTATCAATATAATTTTACTAAAAATTAGGAAAACTAGTATCAAATTTGCCTCCAGATTTTCGTAATCTTTCTTAAAGCAACTGTTCCACCAACCACCAACACCAATACTAAGAAAGCATTTGGTTACTGATATCAGTGGTGTGCTGTGTCAACTTAGATTTGCTTTCAAAGTTTCCACAGGACACACCCTATATAAATATTACCACACAATTTAAAATGTCAAGGTCTGCAGCATTCACTGTCCAGCTGGGCTTTTTGAAGATAATATGTCAAACAGAGAGGAAGTTAAGGAAAATATTAGCTAGCAAATCTACTAACCTAGAAGATAGTTATATTTTCTTTCTGTATAATTATATATATTACATTGCTTCAAGAAATCCTTATTAGGATTCAAGAAAAAAAAAACAAAGCCTCAGTTACACTGTCTCTGAAGGTGAGAAGGCAGAAAGTGCTAATGAGACATGTTTCTCTCTACAAGGTTCTAAAGGCCAGTGGTTTTTGTGTCACTTTAAGTATCAGTAACTTTAGTCAATCCCAGCATTCTCACTTACCGATTTAACTAAAATCAGCTAAGGTTATCTAGAGGTTTGCTCTGTCAAAAGTGTTTTTTAAAAAGAAATGGTATTGCTTCCCTTTTTTTGTGAAATTTGTTCAATTATTTGTCTTGTAATAATATGAATCTGATACAGAATTCGAATACTACAAGAGTAC